TGGACACTGAGCTCTGTGAACAGCCAGCCTCTTTAGCGATGACCTTTTGTGTCTTGCCCTCCTTGTGCAAGGTGTCGATGGTCGTCTTTTGGACAACTGTCAAGTCAGCAGTCTTCCCCATGATTGTGTAGCCTATAGAACTAGACTGAAAGACCATTTAAAGGCTTTTGCAGGTGGTTTGAGTTAATTAGCTGATTAGAGTGTGGCACCAGGGGCCATCAATTTTGAACCTTTTCACAATATTCTAATTTTCTGATATGATGAATTTGAGATTTTCATTTGTTGTCATTTGTAATCATCAAAATTAAACAAAATAAACATCTGAAATATATGAGTTTGTATGTAATGTATGAATATAATATACAAGTTTCACTTTTTAAATGGAATTACTGAAATCAATCTACTTTTTCATGATATTCTAATTTTATGACCAGCACCTGTATTACAAAATAGATGGTGTCATCTGTAAAGTTCTTTATATGGAAACACCTAGGTACTTATAAGAGTCCACTATCTTAATGTCTGTTCCCTGGATGTTCACCGGTGTCAGTGGGATTGATCAGCTTCTACGGAAGTCCACCACTACCCCCTTGGTTTTGGTTGGATTTCTAGACAAAGCTTTCGATTAATTTAGACCACAGGTGTTTTATCCCCAATCAGAAGACAATAAACTTGATCAGATTATTATCTGAGTTTTTTTATATTTTTTTTTAAAATAAGCATAATAAGTAAGCTAGGAAAATGAGCTGCTAACAGGACGTTTCTCCTAAGGTACTCTCTAGCTTATATTTACAGGCTAAAAATGTTTTCTAAAGTCCTCTGGGCTTTACAGGTTGCATCAATATAGTACCTCAACACCCTTTCTACTTGCCCAGTTCTACCAGTTCTGTCCGGAGGAAGGGGCAATAATTCCAACAAATTAATGTTAGAAAAATTTGGAAGGACATCTAAATCTTTGATGGTTTCAAAGGATTTCGAAGGTACTTCCACCAAATACTAAAGACATATGTGAACACTTCTGAGTTTGAATAAAGTCTCACAAAACCCTCTAAAAATTCTGACTTTCAATATTCTGAAAATTATAAAACTGAAATAATGTTGATAGTCCTACGTTTTCCAATATAGGATAACTTCAATTTCATTTTATAACAGACAGTTATCTTTTTATTACAGTGCTTTTGAAGATCTTGTGTCAGCTCTGAATGAATGAATCGCCAAGATGACATTCATCATCTTTCAGAATCCCCTGAAATGATGCAGTTTAATCTAATCTTGAAATCTTCAAAAGCCTTCATAGAGAAGTTATAAAACTCAAAACAAAAAACCAACCCAATGACAGGGTTGCCGCCGACACAAACAACCCTGAAACTTTTCCTTGAATTGTTTCCAGATGTTCAGCACTGAAATAAACTTAAATAAACACATAGACCTTCATAAGGAAACCTCCTGCAAAATTTGACATGTTGCAGTAATGTCCAAACATTATAAAGCAACTGTTTACAAGCACTCAAAATATTTTTCTCCACATCCTCCACATCTTTCCCAATCCATGCCTGCCACACTGAGCTGCACGCTGAAGGGATGTGCAGATTAGAGGGCCCATTAGAGACTCAGTGACACCTTAGCCTGTATCACTGTTGTGAGGTGGCAGAGCAGGTCAGGTTAGTGCTCCATATTATGACCAGGATGAAGGCCTTTTTCAATAAAAAACTGCATGCTGGACTCTCTGAGGGAAAATCCTGATTAAGGTACTAACTGCATGACCCCTCACTACAACTTTATGTTAGTGGGAAGCTGCATTTATCTCATTAGCATGCTGCTTAACCAAGAGCACAGAATAACATCTGCTTCATTGGAGCTTATGAATCTGCCTTCTCATAAAAAAAAAAAAAAAACTCCTTTAACTGCCTTAAAATGGAAAGCAGCAAAAAGAAATAGCTTCAGTCTGTTTGCTTTGACTCCATACTAACCTATGAATACTAACTTTCAGTCATATCTCATTGCAAAACAACCATGGACTTAAACACAAATGCACACCAATAAGATATTTTTTTACTTTTGTTTTTACCCACGCACCCTTTTTTTTTAAGTCGCTCACTTGAATATTCATTTTTAATTTTAAAAAACAAAGCCTATTATATTTATGTAGGATTGTATGTAATCATTCCAAGTTAGCCACCAGTGTTTAAAACATAAATCACCAGGTTACAGTTCCAGGTAAAACTTTTTTTAATGATAAACCTGTCATTTTTCCACATCTAGAAAGTGAGATTGGTGTGCAATCAATGCTTTGCAAATTTTGTGGTGCAGGCTCTGTCAGACTGCATGAAAAGTGTCTGTAAACAGAGGGTTTTGAATTGTTCCACAGATTGCCAACTTTGACTGGATTACCCAAGAACAGGAGTCTGCAACCTTTGCAGTCCAAACAGCCATCCTTGCCCTCAGTCCAGCTAAATAAAACTCCTTTATGCTGGGCTCACACTGACTATTTCACGGCTGTGGTGCAGGGGCACAAGAAACCTAAAGTCACTAACATTACTATGTACACGTACTAGCCACAGTGCAAGTCAAATCACCAAGGCAGTGCTGTGGAAATTTGCAAGGTTTTGAATTTTGAAAAAAAACTGCAGTGATCCCATGTCACATTTCAGGAAATACAAGAAACAAGCAGGAAAAAAACAAGAACCAGACAGGAAAGAGTTTTGTTGAATTGTAGAAGAAAATCAACCTATCAACTTACACTAACTTGACCAGTGTAAACAAAACATATATACAAGAAAAAAGGGGGGCTATTGGAGGATGGGGAAAGCTATTTATATGCTCAGATACTGTAGGTTTTGCCATTCCATTAGGACCACTGTGTCAGTTTGAGCCTGTTATTTCAACCACAAAGGTGATCATGTGTCAAAGTGGAAATTAGATTGTAAACTAAACATTCTAAATGTCAAGGAAAAGGATACATCATGTGTTATCTATATAGAGCACAGTCTTCTACATGTTTGCTCTTTCCGGCATGGCTTTCTCCTTTCAATTTTTATATGAAGGCCAAATGTTTGATTCCCATCTGAGCTCTGCATATCTACAGCCCCTCCAAAGTCATCATGGTCCTCTTGGCTGCTTCTCTGAATATTGCTGTCCTCCTCCAGCATGTTTAGGCAGTGCTCCATGTCTTCGTAGGTCTGCAGTTTATCCTCCCTCCATGTTCAGATTAAGGATTAAACTGAACTTATAGGTAAAAAGCTTTAAAGTAAATTATAACGTCATTAACAATGTTTTACTTTGCACTGGAGTGTCACAAAAAAAAAAAAAAAAAAAAAAAAAAAAATTACAGCTTTGCTCCATGTATTTTATGTAATTTCCTAGTTGAAACTGACACCTCTTTGTTCTTAAATCCCACAACAATGATCCCAAATGTTTCTCAGCTAGTTGTTACATTTCTGGGTAATATTAATCAAGTTAGTAATGTACATTTACTCCACATCAAGAACTTCAGACTTCCAGAGTGTCACTAAATCCCAGAGTGAATCCCAAAGACACATGATCCCCATTAAGCATTTACAGGAAATTATGGCAGATTTCTCAAATTTTGTTTTATTGCTTTTGATCCAACTCATTTGTCTCAGTAGACGTTCATCATTGTTCTGTCACACATATAATGATATTATTACCAGAAAGAAGATGTTGGTTGCCTCTGAAGCGTAATAATACATAATTATACCCTTGTTCAGTTCCTCTAAAAAAAGAAAAAACAATTCTGGTATGTCGTCTTCCCAACAGTTCACCATGGTATGCAGCTTTAGCTGAACAGCGAAGCAGTCTGAGTCCTGCTGTGGTTGAAGTATTTGGAGAAATCAGAACCATTTGCTTTTGATAAAGTTTGCTGAGTGTCTATGCAGCTTAAAACATCTCTTAACACAAAATGCAGCATATGTTTTAGTTTGAACAATTTTATGAAGATAACAACAGAGCCGGCAAAGACTTAAGGAAGAGGCACAGATAAAAAGACAAATGGTGAGAAGTGGGAGAATTGTGCAGCTGAAGGGGAAAGAGAACATTAATATGCAACACTTAGCTTTGGCACTTGACTTTTCTGTGACTCAACAATCTGTTTGCTCGCTCTATGATAAATCAAACAGCATACCAATGCACCATCAGAGACCCATATAAGTGTTTCATATTAGACTGTTACTTTAGGTTTCCATCTTAAAACCTAAAGTTTATGTCTGAGCTAACGATGTTTAGAATAAAAGCTTGACAAATGATTTAACATCAGGCAGGCAATAAAGCATGTTTCCACAGTAATATTGTCCCATCAGAATTTTACTACATAAGTTGATGTTCTTGGAGAAACACTTTAGTGAAGCTGTACCCTCTCTGTGGGTCTCTGGCTAATGAGTGGCAGCTTCATACCAAAAACATCAGAGGGATCCATTGAGGGCCTTTTGTATGGGTACCACGGTGTTGAACGCTGAAAATAAAAGAGGGAGAGTTCTAAATATGAATCGGTTTCACTGACAAATAAGAAATTTGTCTTCCAATTTTTTATTTTTTTTTTTTGCAATGTAAATATTTTTAGATATAAAGGTTTTAAAATACTGCAATGGACTGGCGACCTGTCTAAGGTGTACCTTTCCTTTCGCCCATAGACTGCTGGAGATAGGCACCGACCCCTACGTGACCCTGACAGATACAGAGAGAGAATTGGATTGATGGATGGTTTGTTTAAATAAGTATTGATAAAGTTCAAGTTTTTTGTAAATATGTTTATAAAAACTGTGTTTTACAAGATCGGGATCATCATGTTTTTCTTCATAACAAGTTTCCCTTAAAACATCCAGTACATAACGAGTCAAATATGTTCCTAATGCTGTAGAACCCTGTTTCCTTTATAATAGGCAACTATGAAATGTATGAATATTAAGCTCTGACATCAATAAACTGTAAAATCCGTTAACATCCTCAAGGATTTTATAAGTAGTTAAGCTAACCCTCATCTGGCATGTCATCCTGACACAGAGAGCCAAGAGCGCACACTAAAGAGGTCTGAACTGATGCTCAGAGGCTCTTTGGATTTGGCTTTCTTATCCAGTCGTCTGCTGAACACATCAGTCCAGATCAGCTGCAGTTCTCATCAAAGCCTCTCAGGCAGAAGAGCAAATATTAAGCCCTGTAAAATATGAAAAAAAAGAAAAAACAGCTGAGACTGTTGTATAAAAACACCTTCTTATAAACTGCATGCTGGTTTAAGTGCCTCAGCAAATCATTTAGACACTCATAAGCTGTCCTTCTGGATCAACAAGACCTCTGAGATTCATAGGCAGCCAAATTCATAGATGTGTTCATTTGAGCAATTGTATCTTTGGACAGTGAAATAATTCAAGTGCAATGACTAATCCAGAAAACCCCATTATGCCTTTCTAAAATACTTTATGTAACATGACATACATCCGGGGCTGCATGGTGTTACAGGGGGTAGCACTGTTACCTTGCAGCAACAAGGTTCTGGGTTCGATTCCTGGCCTGGGTTCTCATTGCATGGAGTTTGCATGTTCTCCCCCTACATGTGTGGGTTCTCTTGGGGTACTCTGACTTCCTCCCACAGTCCAAAAACATGACAGGTTAATTGGCTTCTCTAAATTGTCCTTATGTGTGATTGTGTGTATGCATGGTTGTGTCTCTTTGTGTGTCTCTGTGTTGCCCTGCAACAGACCGGCGACCTGTCCAGGATGTACCCCGACACTTGCTCATAGACGGCTGGAGATTGGCACCGGCCCCACCGTGACCCTGAAAGGACTGGATGGACAGACATTAGTCCTCTTGAATAAAGTATTAATACACAGTCAAAGCTTTCAGTTTTGACTTATTCTACCTTCAGGGTGTTTTATGGAGATTTGGAACCTTGTAGGCTATATCGATCATATAGCACCATCAGTTTAATTCTACACAGTCTGGGTGTGCTTCAATCTGTTCAAAGAAAGGAGAGATATTTAGCAAAACCTTCTGAGCTGATTGGATGAAACAAGACCTAGAGCCCACCCACCAAAAATTGGTTTCAGCTAATCATGGTAACACATGAAAATGTCAGAAGATGCCATGAGAAACCACAAGTTTGGCTTGCAACGCTCATACTGTAACTCTCCTTTCAAAGATGAAATTGTGGAATCCGACAAAGCAGATGTGATAGCAGCAGCTGTGTGTGCATCTTCCTGCGCTTCCAAGTTACATTTGGTTTGGCTGTAAGCTCTTGTTTTCATCAAGATGAAAACAAGAGCTGTGACGAAAACAAGAGCTTGTTTTCATCACAGCTATATGTGCCGCCATAAACCATTATACTACAACTGGATTGGTCAGCCCATTTTGGGTCAGTCTGGAATTGCTGAGGTGGGAGCTGTACATGAAGGACCCATCCCCTTGGGGAGCAGTGGGCTGCCATTGTGCAGTGCCAGGGGAGCAGTGTGGGGTTGAGGGTCTTGCTCAGGGACCCAGAGTGGCAGTATGTGGGAGTGGGGGATCAAACTCCCAATCTCAGGATTCAAAGCCCTATGCCCTAACCACTAGGCCACCACTCCCTTGTAAAACCACCACTCCCTTGTAAAAGTAAAAATTGCTCAAAATGGAACACGATACCCTAAAGTGGGAGACAAATGTATCCTTTCAGCCCCATGAGACACAGCGTTGTAAGACCCGCTTCTGTTTGAGCTCAAGTATTTTGCAATATATTTCTACAAAGATTACCCTGGATTAAAATCATTCATCTTATTTTCAACTCTGATCAGCTTTACGGTGCTTTTATAAATAAAAGTATCCCCACAGCCTGATGCTTTTGTGTGGAAATCATACAGTAGGTTCAGGGTGGTGTGCAGTGACAGATTTCCATCTAGGTTAAAAAGGGCTCATCTGACCAAAATACACAACTGCTGTGTCCCCTACATGGCTTATGATCAACTGCAGGAAACAAGATAAGCCTGTTAGCGTCATTGGGAGCAGGCTGGCTGCACAGAATAAAGTACTGTAGTAACTGATGTGTTATTGCTTTTCTAAGACCTTGTCGCTCCTTAAATTGCACCGGATATACAGAAAATCCCTAATTAATCCCTTATCTTGTTTTCCTGCAGCCCGGGACTTTAGATGTTGTTGTTTTCCACCACTGCCTAAAATGATCTGATATTAGGAGTTGCTTCATCAACAGATTCCCCTAACTGAACTGTGAATCTCTCTACCTCCATCTGATAGAATACTACGAAATAAAATATGAATTGTACTAATTAGAAACATTTTTTTGTAGTTATTGACATGAACCGTAAAGATGCATTATGACATTTGAATGTGCTTGTATAGCAATTAATGTTTTTACATGTTTTGCACGGTGAAAAACAGAGTAGTAATTATTCCTTGCTCATTTTTGTTTAGCTTACAGGACATCTATAAACTGCAGCAGAACCAGTCCTTTGGGTTATGGCAAAGGTTAGAAATAACAGAGGATTCAATGACTGGCTCAGACGTGGAGAGGCTGATTCATCCGTGGAAAGACCTTACAGTGGGTAATCTTATTATGCAGATGAGCCTGAGTGCCCCTGTGGCCGTGCTGAAAAGGACGCAGGCGGTGTACGGCTGGCAGGGCACATATGGCCCAGTCATCCAGACACCACAACCACAGCAGAGATCTCTCCATCATTTACAGTTATCTAGTTTCTTTGGGTTCAGTTAAGAGGAAAACATGGCACCCAGGGAAAAAACTCCACAGCATTCCTCAGATAATGCCCATGTCTGAATAGCATAAACAGATGGGAGCTCTAAGCATGCTGTGCCTCAGCTCAACTGTAGCTTGAGATGTATTGATCTTTTTTTTTTTTTAGCTTTTATTGCAATCTTGAGTTGAACCGTTGTTTTTGGTCCCTTGGGAAAAAAAGACTCTGAATTCCTCTTGAATAAGGATACAAAAATAAAGCAGATACATAAATAACAGTTCACTTTGCAAATGTAATTAGTGCTGTTACTATAAATCATGCAATATAGTTTCCTTAATTTTTGTCTTGTCATGCATGCATTATGACCCTGTACTTTCATCAAACTTTGCATATGTGACCATTCCATCTGGCATAATGTAGCTTGCTTAATTTTTTTCTGAGAAAATCCAGAAACCAAAACTTACCTCAGAGCTGTTTTTTTTTTCTTTTTTATTTAAAGAAGGAGTACTATTCGTAACTAAGATTAAGACCTGCCTCATGCTACTGCTGCATAAGAATCAGGATCACAGCTAGACAAAGGCTGTTGGTCTCTTCATATGGTTGAAGCTATAGCAAAAAAAAAAAAAAGGAATAGAGGAAGATTAAATAAAAAGGAATAGAAAAGGTGCTGGGCAAGATAATTTAAAAGATAATAGAGGGGTGCTATATGGGCAGGGCTCATTTTCAGATCACAGGTTAATTGCTTTTTGAATTGAAAATGTTTTTTTTTTAATCTGGTCTGGCTGCACACTGAGATTTGGTTGCAGGAAAATGTAGGCAGGTCTGCAGTTAAACTCGTCTAGAAAGAGATTGCTCAGTTATATTGCAGGTATCAAACAAGAAGCTAGTGTGAAGCTTGCGAAACCAAGAATTAATAGGCCTGCCAACATGAACAGGCTGATGAACTCTGTCATTTAAAATGTATCCAAGTTTCTACAAATGAAAATGTCGCTTCTCTGTGTTTGATAGACACTCTACTCTGTGACTGCATTTAATCTGCACGACAGCATCCCATTCTCTCTGACTGCACCATTAGCTCTGAGCAGAAAAGCAATTTACTGGTGACTGTTTATTGCTGAGTAAGCCGTGTCAAAATGAATATTTCAGATTTTCACCATTACATTGTTGCCTGATTACAGACGACCAAGATAAGGCATTCAAAGAAAAAATATATAAAAACACAAATAATTTGTAAGAATTCAATTTGGTAATTTTATATTTTATACACCTAGAATTTTCAATCTGTTTTACTCTCACTGAGTGCATTAAGCATGGATTGCATAAGATCTAAAATCTTTTAAATTTAAGTTCAAGCAAAGAAATGTTTTGTATACAAGCAGTTTACAATTATAATATTACATAGAAAATATAGAAATAAAAAAAGTTTTTATCATTTCTTTATTATGGAGCCCATCAAAGATGTCATCAAGAGCACCATGTTGGATTATCTGGTTTTAGGCGGATTTCACACAGTTATATATGTATGAAATATATCTATTAGTTGTAAAAGTATACATCCATAAAGTTCAAAAGCTCGAAAATGAAAAATAAAATAAAAAATTGTATAACAGAGTATAAAATAATTTGCAAACAAGCTGAATAGTTCACCATTCAGGATAACCATCGTGCACGGTGGGCCCTCTAGTGGTCAGTATGAGACCAGCTGCACACTGGATTTTCAATGTAAAAGCAAATTTTGCTTCGTTTAATCAAACTTCGTTTAAAGTTGGTCTGTTTGGTCTTGTTGTAAAACATATATTTTACATACCAGTATAATGAGTTCATTTCTAATAAAACTAGTTTTCTAAATGTGAATAATGTTAATGCTTCAAATATTTCTGTTGTAAAGCAGCAGCCACAAATTACAGATGATTCTTATTTTAATCCCATTTGTTGTTTGCTATTGTACAACATGCTAAGGTTTATCTGTCTTATTTTGTCCTGAATGTTTTCATTTAGATATTGAAATGTATCAAAACAGTATTTAAAATAGCCTAAACCTTTTAGAGTCGTGTGTTTATCACATCCTAAGATTATTTTTGCTGTATTGTTGAACAACATTTGGTTGGCTTATTTTAACTCTGTTATAAAAACATCTTGGGGTGAGATCCTATGATGACACAGTTTTGAAGAAGGCAAATGAGTCTGCCCTAATATGTTTGTGTATTGATAAATGGTTTCTGGTAAAGACAATTTAGTCAGCTATAAATGAACTGGCTATTTCTTTCGGCTTTAGATTTCTAAACAAGACCTTTGTTTTGATGACTTCATGGAATCACAAATGTTTTGATTCTTGTTCATTATTCATGTATATTTTAATAACTTGATGTTTTTAGTGTTTTTAGTGTTCACCCCAATTTGTGATGCCTTTAATTCCCGCTTGTGTGACATTGCCTTAGTTATCTCACGCCACTTCATGTCCTTTAAGACAATACACTGGCATACAAATTGTTTAAATATAATTTTTCGAATTACATAACTCGACCCCAAAAATCTGAAGTCTTAATTAACCAGAATTATAAGTTTATTTAAGACCCTTTTTTTTAAGGGTCTTAAATAAAATCAAACTGAACTCCTCAGTGATCCAGTTTTCAGGACTCCCCTCATTAGGAATCAGAACCAGGATTAAACCCCAAACATCACTCGGTGACACGGACGCGCATGCGCCTCAGATCTCCTGGCCACATGAGTTTTGGTCACAGATGCGTCAAGTAGACAGAAACATCAAGCGTTTGACCGGATGTTGTGTAGGTGACTACCACAATAAAGCTGAATAAGAGGCGCAGAAAATGTCCCTGCTGTATAAAGAACAAATTTGTGTAAAACAAGCGATAATCGACCAGGAAACACAAAGCTATCTTAATATCCACTGATGTTGTGTAAATATTAAGCGTGTTAGACCGCCATTGTATTCAACTGTATCCATTACCTTTATGGTCGGTACGGCTTTTATTTTGAAAGTTTAAAGGGATCCTGCGCCCTAAGACCAGCAGCCTGACCTCTGCCTGAATGGCACCACCGCTGCGGCCGTCGCTCTGAGCATCAGAGCGCTGATCCTCCTCCTCCTGATCCCTATGTGAGTGTGTGCGTGTTGGGGAGGCGTGCAGCATGTTGACACAGATCCACTGAACCGCTGTTTTATTTTCTGCCCAACTCCCAGCAGGGTGTAAAGCTGCCAGCCACAGAGACCCACCATGGGTTAGTCAGAAAGCCACCTATGGATTATCCACTTTACGCACTTCAGCCAAGATGAGGATGAAGGGGGACAGAATGGACTTGTTTTCGCAGATACAGCCTGACAAAGACGGGGACTGAGAGTGATCCTCAGCTCCATCCCGACTCTCTGGAAATTTTTCTTTTAATTTTTTTAATTTTTGATTATTTATCTAATTCACTGAAGTCTGCGTGAAGCAGAGATGTTTGCTGAATTGCTGTGCGGCGCCGTGGCTCTGGTCCTGTATGTCAACACTCTGGGAGCCGATTTCTGCTACGATGACAGGTACTTACATGACTGAATGAATTGCGCACAGAACCCGCGTTACTAACGTCCCTGCTCCCTGCAGCTTCTCGCCTGCAGCGGATCAGTTGCTTCTCAGCAGCTGAAAGAGGCTTTTTCCTTGTTCTGTTGCTCCAACTCCAGGCATCCAGCGTTTCATTGCATCAGCATCGCAGCTGAGCTTTTCATTAATCTGAGCAGCAGAGTACTAAAGAGCAAGCATCAGGTATCAATGAGGAATGTGGCTTTGAAGGGCTGCTGAGTGATGGAAAGGTCCCAGTCCTCTGTCAAATTTCAGACGTCTGCAGGCACGTGTGCATGAATGCCTTCAAGACTCTGACTTCTCAGAATTAAAATCAGACTTTTCCTCCTGATTCATGATCAATATGATGGATGGATGGATGGATGGATTTTCATTCATTTTAAGAGTTTCTGCAATGGATATTACTACAAAAAGGCTAACCTTTTTGTAGTATAAATAACTAATGATTATATTTATACTATATTTAATTTGAGTTAAACTTTTTTCTTTTTTTTTTTTGCCATGCTTCCATTCTTTCTAAACTACAAATGAATGAGACGGTATTAACCGCCATTTGCAAATTAGATTTTGTTTATTATCACATGTGAATACTAATAGTTCTTGAATTCCAAATCATGAAAAAAAGCAAAATTATATTACAATCCCTACCTCAAAACAAGCTAAATTGGAGCCAGCCAGACTTTCCTCAGTTTAACAAACTATCTGGGACTCTTTTCCAATTCTGGCAGCCTTAAGTAGAATAACCTGTGGTTGGAGTGTAGTTCTAAAGCCACATTCTAATTCAGATACAAAAAAAACTTTAAGTTCTTCGTTGGTCTATGGAAACCAAAAACAAAGTCTGATTGCCTCCATTTAAGTTTGTTTTGTAGATAGATAGATTGATTGATAGAAAGATATTAATTCATTTTAAGAGTTTCTGCAATGGATATTCTTTGGCCAATATGTATGAATATATTTCTGCTTCTTTATTTAATGGCAAATTTTTGCACCTGAATGCCTCAGCTATCCTCCAGAGTGTAGACTAGCTGAAAAGGCTGGAGTTGCTGAGCTGACTTGGTTTTTCCTCAGAAACTGTGTCTTTGCTCCACCCGTTTTAGACTTTTTAATCGTGCATCGTGAACAGGGGTATTTGATAATATTTCTTTCCCTAAAAGTAAGGAGAGTTGTCACCCTGTCAGCTGGAAACGATCAGTGCCGGGGGGGTGTGGGGGCTCGGCATGCGGGGTAATGCATTACTCATAGCTGGCCTTTTGATATGTGATGGCTGAATGCTTGTCAGTGCCTCGGGCTTTATTCGCCAGCCATGTCTTGATGTAGGTCAGAGGCATTTCTCTTATTTGGTATCAGCCTCCTGTCATCACCTGATATGCCTACACAGCAATGAACCTACTTTTGCAGAATATCCGATATATTGGCTGTAATGTTTATATCTGCTTATGTGTAGTCTAAGGGTGACCTAACAGGTGCTGCTCCCACCCACCCAAGGGGAAGAAATAGTGCATTAACACCCGGCAAATCAAAAAGCCCTGTATTTCCTCTACAACTCCATTGACTGCTGTGTATTAAAACACTTCCTGCTCAGGAGCCTCCCAGAGGCCTTTTTGCTGAAAGGCTACTAGTTCCCTTTTATTAAAAAGGAAAATAGCAGAACAGTTCATTTGGATGCCTTGCTCTGGATTTGGCACTCAGTTTCTTTTATACAGGTTACTAGTCAGATCACGAGATTAAAATGCAAAAATTTTAACAAGTTAGGAATTTAAAGCCACATAAAAATCAATCATTTTTCATAAGAAACTCAGAAAAAAACCTGAAGCGATTGGATGTTTATTCAACAGAATACTGCCTCTTTCCTGACTTTATAGCTGCACATTGCCTGACAAGCTGCAACTTGTCCCTTTCTTAAAAAAAATATAAATTTGGGATTTTGGAAACATTTCCTGCAGTAAAATAAACAGTTGGTGTGGATTCTGAGTGAGCACCGCTCATCACTCTAAAAGGCTCATATAAGTTTATTATTCTCCATCACTCTAAAAACAGAGTGACAGAAGGACAGAATAACTTCAAAATTTAGCGGGTGTTTTTTTTTTTTTTGGTCTGCAACTAATGATTATTTTGTAAATCAATTAATCTGTTGATTAGTTTTTTCGATTAATCGATTAAAAATCAGATAGTCAAAGGTTCCTTAAAGATGGCTTTTTCCAAAATTGAACCAGGTGAAACAAAACCTTTCCATTTCAGGAGTCCTGGATGCAGCATATTGACAGATGAAAAAGATTTTTACTACTAAATTAGTTGACAATTGTTCCAATAATCAATTAATCAAGATTAATCTGAATAGTTGTTTCAGCCCCAGTATTTTAGCACATTTCCATGTGTCTTGTTTTTTAAAAAAAAAACTTCAATATTATCTTACAATATGTTTAACAACAATATAACAGCCATTTTTCTTTGCTGCTTTCTTGCCGTCCTCAAGAATCTCTGAGCTTTCAAAATTTCAGACATTAAAATCTATGCCTGTTAAAAGTCCTCAGTTTCTAATAATAGCAGTTTGAAATACTTAAGCATGACAAATATTGTATCCTGTCGTTTCAGATTGAAAAACTGCTCATTTTCCAACTAAAATTATGATTACTATTTAGTCCACTGTGCAGCTGTCAGCGTAATAAAAATAAATACAGATAACACTATAAATAATCTTATTTATAGCAGCAGTAGAAATGAATTTTTGCTGTTCCATTCTAAATAAAAGCTCTTGAGCATTTTGTGTTGTTTTTTAAAATTGTGGTGTAAAAACAGTGATAGTGTAGTATTTCCCTAAAGCTTATCAGTCTATGAAGACGTCTTGCTGGTCCAGCCTTATTTTTGAGCTGCTTGAAAGTTGGTGTTGTGTGTCCATAAAGCTGTCGTGGTGCGGCAGCACTGTAAGAAGAGGTTAGAGGCTGCAGAGTCAGCTGCTGTGAGGCTGCAGAGCGACCTCTACAACTATCAGAAACCCATATTCTTGCTTTTTCTGTAAGACTATCTTAACAGAAATCCTACTATATGTGTTTTGCTCAAAGTAATAGGGGGTTCCATATGAAACATATGGATGCCATACTCTGACAGCCTCATCCACTCCCTTTTTTTTTTTTTCTACATCTCAGGCTATCTGTCAACCAGCGTTATCTTGCTTTTAACGCCACGCGTTCAGGCTTGCAATTAGCAGCCGTATGTCTCCATGGGCTCCACTCGGGGGAGATGAGGGAGGAGCGAGAGGCATGGTGCAGCAGAGATCTATTTATTTCTTTATTTCTTTTATGAGTGAAACATTTTTGGATGCAGAGACTGATCTAATGTGCTAATGGGATGCCGGTGTGGAGATAAAGCTCATATGTATGATGGAATGAATCAAGCCGTTAGCTTTCACAAACAGCCTCCAAGTAGACCAGAGGTTTACATAATTTACTGGCAAAGTCATCAGTCATAGATAATGTGACGCCTTATGCAGAAAGAAGGAAGATCCATTGCTGATGTTTCACATTTTCTGCCTTTAAGCAGGATTGAATGAATCTGGTTGATCATTTAGCAGGAAATGATTATGGCTGTTTGGTCACAGGGCGACATTGATCTCTGGGTGATGATTGAAGATGTGTGCTGTTTGCTCCTAGTTGTATGATTGGTTCACAGACACAAAATCCGAGATGAAGCTGCTCACTCATCTAATGTGTTTCCGTGGTTTCAACTCACTTTGCTCAGATTTTTAACCACCAAAAAAATTGTACAAATGTACATATATTTTTTAGAAGACTGTAGAGCATACTGAGCATGGAGTCCTTTTTAGCAGCTCTCTGGATAAAAATGGCCTCACCGTAGATTGACCCGCTCTGCAGTGCCAAATCACCCCAGGGGATGCTCTTCCTCTGGAAACACTAATCAATAGTGTATACCCAACTTTGACACCTTCAGTGGAAAATGGAAATAATGAATCTTTTAGTCTATTCCTCTGTCTGCAGTGGAACGTATATAATGTAAAATGAAAACATTAATGCTTTGTTGATTTTTTTTTTTTTTTCTGTGCTATAAAGCTACAGAGGTACAGTAACACACATAGGGCTGCAACTAAGGGTTATTTTGCTAATCGTTTTGATTAATCTGTTGATTTTTTTTTCAATTAATCAATTAATAATGGGATAAAAAAAAGTTTCTTAAAGGTTCAATACAGGATTAAACCAGGCGAAACTAAAACTTTTCGACTTGTGAAGTTCTGGCTAGAGCATATTCACAATTTTAATATAATTACTGCTCTTGTGGGTCGCTCTGTCAGCTAAAGGCATGTTTTAGAGTCTCTTTATCCAGATAACGATTAATCGATTACTGAATTAGTTGACAATTATTTCAACAATCGATTAATCTGATTAATCGTTTCAGCCCTACGTACATCTAGGAGATATCAAATTGAATAGCTGCAAACTTTCAGGTTTTTCAATATTAACCAAACTTAATATTTTGTCACATTCTAATAACAATGCTCACTATTTATTTTGTTAGGGTTTTTTTTCAAACCAATCACAAAGTAAGTTTTTTTTTTTTTTTTTTTTTTTAAGCTATCAAGAATCTAAGCAGTGTGGCGTGCATATGTATGAGATACTTTTAAGTTTTCTTAATAAAAGATTGAAAAAGCATGTTTTTCCCATACATTTATAGACTTGTATTGGTGTTTTCCATGGTATTTTATGTCTCATTTCTTCTCAAAAGGATTGGTTTTATGGGTCATCCTTCCCTGTCAGGATGCTGATGAGTTAGACAAACAGTATCCTCCTCATTACCCTGCCCCGGTGTGATAATGTAAGACCTGACTCTGTGAGGATGTGTGAAGGCTGCAGGTCAAAAGGAAGGACGCAACTTCCCCTGGTGAGGGGAATGATTTATAATCAACAGTCAAACAGTAGATAACTTAAAAAATACTTCATCCTGTGCAGTC